CCTGATTGCCCTGACCGGAATTTCCAATACTTTGTTGAATGGAAGTGGTAAGAGAGGGCATCCTTGTTTTGTGCTAGTTTTCAAAGGGAATGCTTTCAGCTTTTGTGCATTCAATATGATACTGGCTGTGGGTTTGTCATAAATAGCTCTTATTATTTTGAGATATGTTCCATCAATACCTAGTTTATTTAGAGCTTTTAGCATGAAGGTGTGTTGAATTTTATCAAAGGCCTTTTCTGAACCTATCAAGATAATCATGTGGTTTTTGTCATTAGTTCTGTTTTATATGATGGATTATGTTTATTGATTTGTGTATGTTGAACCAGCCTTGTGTCCCAGGGATGAAGCCAACTTGGTCGTGGTGGATAAGCTTTTTGATGTGCTGCTGGATTCAGTTTGCCAGTATTTTATTGAGGATTTTTACATCAGTGTGCATCAGAGATACTGGCCTTTTTTGGTTGTGTCTCTGCCAGGTTTTGGTATCTGGATGATGCTGGCCTCATAAAATGAGTTAGGGAGGATTCCCTCCTTTTCTGTTTTTTGGAATAGTTTCAGAAGGAATGATACCAGCTCCTCTTTGTACCTCTGGTAGAATTTGGCTATGAATCCATCTGATCCTGGGTTTTTTTTGGCTGGTAGGCTATTAATTACTGCCTGAACTTCAGAACTTGTTATTGGTCTATTCAGGGATTTGACTTCTTCCTGGTTTAGTCTTGGTTTAGTCTTGGTTTAGTCTTATGTGTCCAGGAGTTTATCCATTTCTTCTAGATTTTCTTGTTTATTTGCATAGAGGTGTTTATAGTCTTTTCTGATGGTAGTTTGTATTTCTGTGGGATCAGTGATGATATCCTCTTTATCATTTTTTATTATATCTATTTGATTCTTCTTTCTCTTTTTCTTTATTAGTCTGGCTAGTGGGGTTTTTGTTGTTGTTGTTGTTGTTTTTAAACAGCTCCTGGATTCATTGATTTTGTTTGTTTTTTTGTTTTTTGAAGAGTTTTTCAGGTCTCTGTCTCCTCCAGTTCTGCTCTGATCTTAGTTATTTCTTGTCTTCTGCTAGCTTTTGAATTTGTATGCTCTTGCTTCTCAAGTTCTTTTAATTGTGATGTTAGGATGCCAACTATAGATCTTTCCTGCTTTTTCTTATGGGCATTTAATGCTGTCATTTTCCCTCTAAACACTGCTTTAGCTGTGTCCCAGAGATTCTGGTACGTTGTATCTTTGTTTTAATTGGTTTCAAAGAACTTACTTATTTCTGCAATAAGTATGTTGTTATTTACCCAGTAGTCATTTGGGAGCAGGTTGTTCAGTTTCCATGTAGTTGTGCAGTTTTGAGTGAATTTCTTAATTCTGAGTTCTAATTTGATTGCACTGTGGTCTGAGAGACTGTTATCATTTCCGTTCTTTTGCATGTGCTGAGGAGTGTTTTACTTCCAATTATGTGGTCAGTTTTGGAATAAGTGCTATGAAGAATAAGTGCTGAGAAGAATGTATATTCTGTTGATTTGTGGTGGAGAGTTCTGTAGATGTCTATTAGGTCTGCTTGGTCCAGAGCTGAGTTCAAATCTTGAATATCCTTGTTAATTTTCTGTCTCATTGATGTCTAATATTGACAGTGGTGTATTAAAGTCTCCCACTATTATTGTGTTGGAGTCGAAGTCTCTTTGTAGGTCTCTAAGAACTTGCTTTATGAATCTGGATGCTCCTATATTGGGTGCATATCATATATATTTAGAATCATTAGCTCTTCTTATTGTTGCATTGATCTCTGTACCTTTATGCAATGCCCTTCTTTGTCTCTTCCGATCTTTGTTGGTTTAAAGTCTGTTTTATCAGGGACTAGAATTGCAACTCCTGCTTTTTTTTTTGCTTTCCATTTGCTTGGTAAATATTCCTCCATCCCTTTATTTTGAGCCTATGTGTGTCTTTGCACATGAGATGGGTCTCCTGAATATAGCACACCAATGGGTCTTGACTCTTTATTCAATTTGCCAGTCTATAATTTTTGTATTTTTATTAGAGATGGGGTTTCACCATGTTGGCCAGGCTGGTCTCGAACTCTTGAACTCAGGTGATCTGCCTGTCTTGGCCTCTCAAAGTGCTGGGATTACAGGTGTGAACCACCATGCCTGGTCATCCATGAACAAATTTCTATTAGTCAATACCAACAAATGGTTTTTCTGAAGATGTATGAAAAATGGGCTTATACTGTCAAATAAAATGGAGTCCCAGAGGGATATAGATGCAAAGGCAGGCTATGTTTCTTTTTTGATGCATATTAGTACATAAGATGTAGAGAAACATTTATTATGACAATTAATAATGACAGTACTGCACTTTATTTCTTCCAAAGACCTCACCAAAATAAAGTCGATTAAGAATTTCACTTGGCTCAGTCACTACACAATCAGAATACTGGCTGGCTATCTATTTTTCTCAAATATATATGTGTATGTACACACACACACACACACACACACACACACACACACACACATACACACACACACACATATTCCACACTCCCTACTTTTTCCCTAAGTATAATATTGGATAATCAGCATAGATTAATTTCTAAAGAATAACAGAGCTTTTGCTGTAAGAGCTTGAGGGAAAGTATCAGTGGCCTTAGGACAAAGCACCCCGCAGTTCTACCTTTAAGCAAAGCAAGAGCACAACAACCTACAGATATCCTCACAGACCATGCCTTCCACTAAGCTCCATCTCTCTTACCTGTTCTCATCTGGCATCCCATCAGCTCCCCTTCATCAAAATGGGTTTTGGATGGTGAAGTTGCTAAGATCACTGGAGGCTATGTTGTCCAAGAGCCTAAGAACTTAGCCTCCAGCTCTTCCTACCATGCCTCTGTCAGTGTAGGCATATGAGCTTGATTTGAATCCAGAGAGATTTACTTCAGGATTCAGAGTTTGAGTCATATGCAAATGTAATGACTGCTCTTATGCTTTAGCCAACTGGAGGTTTGTCACAGACACTAATATGAAATTCACAGATTCTAGAAGTAATCTCGTGTCTGTTCATTCTGAGGTCTGTTCATTAGCCTGTTCAATAAATCACTCCTACCTAGTGGAAAATAGATTTTTAACTCAGTGGATTTTCTTAAAACTGTGTTCTTTGTCTGAATTACCCCCAGTGGAATGTGTAAGTCATGTCATATTGCACAGCACTTACTAATAAAAATATTTTTAAAGTCTGAGATATAGGTGAGAACATACTGAGCTTGTACTTTGATGGGTGTATGAGATGTGCTGGACATTGTCAGGGCATAACACATATAAAATCTATTTTTTTCCAATAACTGGTTGTTTGGAGAACTGACAAATGGCATTCAGGGGCCTCTCCTCTACTTCTTTCTACAGCAAGTGAGAAGGGATTGACACATTGGGTAGGCCAGGTGTGTTCCATTTTCATTGCCAGGCTTTCTTTGGTCATAGGATTGAATCCAAAGGGTATCTATACCTTTTAAGATCCCCCAGACCTTTCTCACTCTGTTCCATTTAACAATTATTGAGTACTCTGAATGTGCTAGACAGTATGCCAGATGCTTTTCATGCATTATCTCTTTTAATACAACAATTTAATAAGCTGGAGGCACTCATTTTACAAACACACAAATTAAGGCTTAGAGAATTTGAGAATCTTGCTCAAAGTTGGGACTTCACAGCCAAGTGTGGTGGCTTATGCCTGTAATCCCAGCTCTTTGGGAGGCCGAGGCAGGTAAATCACTTGAGGTCAGGAGCTCAAGACCAGCCTGGCCAGCATGGCAAAACCCTGTATCTACCAAAAATACAGAACTTAGCCAGGAGTAGTGGTGCACACCTGTAATTCCAGCTACTAGAAAGGTTAAGGCACAAGAGGCTGAGACATGGGAGGCTGACGCACAAATATTGCTTGAACTCGGGAGGCAGAGGTTGTAGTGAGCGAAGATCATGTTAGTGCACTCCAGCCTGGGTGACAGAGTGAGAGTCTCTCAAAAAAAGAAAAAGAATTACAAGAGAAAAAAAGAGTCAGGACTTCAGAGTCTTTTATCTAGTATTGTCAGGCACTCTGTGAAGTGCTGAGAGTATACAAATGAGTATGATACAGACCCTTTCCTCAAGTAGCATATGGTTTAATAGAAACAGACGTATTAAAACGTAATTTCATTTAAATGAGATAAGTACCATGACAGAAATATGAGCAAAGTTTTGGAAATGTAGAGGAGGATCATTACTTGAACTTAGAGCTTATAGGGAGGCATCCTGGAGGAAGGGATGTTCCAGTTGAATCTTGCTGCTTTGCCCACAGTGAACTAACCTCTGGAGGTAGACTAATAGATGGCCCTAGAGCTAAGAGTAAAGAACCCAAAGACCTTTGGGCCCAGAACATTTCTGGCAGAATTTACCAGTTCTGTTTCAGCCCTGCCCATTTGTGTATAGGTATTTTTAAGCTCTGACCTTTTGCACTGATAATGATATATCTACACAAATAAACCCAAAAAAATAGATATCTAGACCTGAAATATTATTAATTTAATCAGTTAAATATCTGAGTTATTGCAAAGTACCATTACTTTTATGGCTTAATTTTATTAATGTCACGTTAAAATTTCCAAGTTATAAAGTAGCAGATGCTGGATTAATAGTTATTAAATATGTGATAGGTAAGTGAATTAATATCACATAACAAGGGTCAACAATTTCTTTCTGTAAAAGGCCGCATAGTAAATATTTGGGGCTTCATGGACATGTGGTCTGTGTCAATTGTCTTATAGCAGGAAAGAAGCCATAGATGTTAAGGAAATGAATGAGCATCACTGTATTCCAATAAAGCATTACTTACAGAAAAGAAGGTTGCAGGTTGGATTTGGCCATGGACTGAAGCTTGCTAATCCATGACATAGAACAATCAAAACCTTAGAAAAATTACAATGTTCTGGAGATAGGTGTGTTCACTTCCTACAGAATATATGATTTGTAAATTTTGTGCTTAATTATGTGCAGGTAACGTATCTTGGGAAGGAGCTTTTAAAGTATGTTTCTGAGGATGTATCCATACTTCCAGAACCAAACTCAGTACCTCAGCAATATCAGCCTTGTCTTCCAGGTATGTACAGACTGACACTCATTTCTTAGTTGTGGTATAAAAACAGCAAAACTTATTGGAAAAGCTCTCTCTTTTTTTTGTCTTTTTTTCAATTGATTTGAAATTAACAATCATTATAATTATTTCGAGGTGAGCAATTCAGTGGCATTTAATAAATTCACAATGTCATGCAACCACCTATGTCTATATAATTCAAAAACACTTTTAGCATCCCAAAAAGAAACCCTGTACCCACTCAGCAGTTGCTCCCGATTCACTGCTTCTCCCAATTTCTGGAAAACACCAGACTGCCTTCAAACTTTGTTTCATGTACAAAATTATTAAAAATATTGGATCAAATTACCTTCAGAATTTGTTTATAGGTATATATGAAAACATAAATGAATTTCATGTTTAGACTTATGTCCAATCCCCAAGATATCTCCCAAAATTTGAAAAAATCCAAAATCCAAAATACTCTGGTCCCAAGCATTGTGGATTAGGGATAGTCAATCTGTATTATATAGTAATTCTATGTTTAACTTTTTAAAGCACAGCAAAACTGTTTTCCACAGCAGCTGAATCATTTTACATTTCCACCAGTTTTTCTACATCTCAGCAACACTTGTTATTTTCTGTGTGTTTTATAGCACTCCATTTTTAACCTTAGTTAATTCTAGATAATTTAAGAAATGACCTTACCCTTCACAATTCCTTCTTCTGAATCTATGCTGTACTTAACTTTGGCTGGATTTTTAAGTGACATATAAAAACTAAAAAAGGATAATTTTATTCTGTCTGAAGATATGATTTGGTTTTACATGTTTTCTAAAAATAGGCATTAAAATAAATATTTGCTTATTAGAGTAAACTAATATACATTATCAAATGGAATAACCTTTAGCCTGAGAAAATTAAAGAGGATGTAGTCTTTACCAATGAGCAGCAGATTTAGAAATGATCTGGGAAAAGTCAGCACAAACTTCTGAACAATAGCCATAGCTACAGTTAATATTATCCTCCTTTGCTGCAGCATCTCCTCTTTTCTTCCTAGTGTCCCTGTCTTTTACCATTTTGGGACAATACAAAAGAGAGGAGGTACAAAACAGAAAATGATGACACTGATAACCAGGGTCAAGAACCAAAAAGGATTTCTGTCACCAGTCCCTACCCAGAGCCTCCCCGGGATTGTTCCTTTCCTATCACAAGCTCCAATAATTCAAACTGCATTCCTTTCCTAAATTTTGCACTCTAAATTCTCAGGATCCTTCTCTTTCACAAAAACTGGCTTTATTAATAGAATGCATTCTCCACAGTTTTCTGAAGATAGCCTTAAAAGTGTTTTTCATCAATTTTGGGAAACAGACAACATTAATAACTGGTAACATTAAAACAGGTAACATTAATAACTGTGAGAAAGTTAAAGGGCTTAGGAAATTGAAAGGCATTCTTGTAGTAGTACATGGCCTTTGGTTCCTAACCTGACTACCTACCTAATTTGCCTAATCAAATCATAGGGTAAGGCCCAGTAACCTGAATTTTAAAAGGGATTCTTACACAGCCAACCTGACTATAGACTTTGGATGACTAATAGTATTTGATTTCTTCTGCAGATAGTAATTTGACAGTCCTTGGTATTCACCCCTTTACTTCGATTCCTGAAGTGGAATTGGAATTGCTAAAGTACTCTATCCTCTCTCTGTCTCTCTCCCCCTGTCCCCCCCACCTCCACCCCACACACACACGAAGGAAAACCAAGCATATACTTTCTTCTTCTGGTTTCTAACCTAAGAATCAAAGCAGAGCAGTACATTTTTCCTTCTCTCATGAAGGTCATCTGCTCCTCAGATTTTCTAGTTCTAGACAGGCATTTCCAACCCTAGATAGGCATCTCCTTCCTCAGAGGGCACACAGTCTCCCCGTTAAGTGAGCATGAAATCAGAAATGGGTTCTGAACTGCTACTTCTGCTACCTGTAATATAAAGTTTCCTGTTATTAATTTATTTTCAGAAATCCTGATTTTTCTTTCCATTAGATATTTCAGATTTTTTTTTATTGTACTTTAAGTTCTGGGGTACATGTGCAGATCTTGCAGGATTGTTACATAGGTATACACCTGCCATGATAGTTAGCTGCCTCGATCCCCCCATCACCTACATTAGGTATTTTTCCTAATGTTATCCCTCCCCCATATTCCCACTCCCTGCTATTCCTACCCTAGCCCCCCTCCCCAGAATAGACCCCAGTGTGTGATGTTCCCTTCTGTGTCCATGTATTCTCATTGTTCAACACCCACTTACGAGTGAGAACATGTGGTATTTGGTTTTCTGTTCTTGTGTCAGTTTGCTGAGAATGATGGTTTTCAGATTCATCCATGTCCATTCATCATCCTTTTTTATGACTACATAGTATTCCATGGTGTCTATGTGCCACATTTTCTTTATCCAGTCTATCTATGATGGGCATTTGAGTTGGTTCCAAGTCTTTGTTATTGGAAAAAATGCCACAATGAATGTACATGTGCATGTGTCTTTATAACAGATCAATTTATAATCCTTTGGGTATATACCCAGTAATGGGATTGCTGGGTCAAATGGTACTTCCATTTCTAGATCCTTAAGAAATCGCCACAGAAAATTTTAATACTACCATGCCATTGCAATCCAGCCTGGGCAACAAGAGCAAAACTCTGTCTCAAAAAAAAGAAAATTTTAATGTTAAGTTAAGAACCATGGAGGTAGCAGTGTGCCAAACAGCCTCTTGCTACCTTGATCTAGGCCTAAGAATCTAGAGGCAGGGCCCTGCTGGCATTCTGTAGGCTGCTGTTGGAGTTTTGTTTGAACCTTCTTGATTAGAATTCTTCTGTAGCCGGTTTTGTGGTACCTGACAGAAACCCAAAGTCCTGGCAAGTTAGAAAAACATAAAGCACTCTAAGCCTATTACAAGAAATGCGTTCAGGAGAGAATCTTTCTCCCTCTTCTGCATACCAAAATATCATCATGAAAATCATGGCTCTGACACTGCAGAGAGCAGAAAGTCTAAAAAAACAATAATAATTTTATTCATGATGAACATAGATGCAAAAATCTTCAATAAAATACTGGCAAACCGATGGGAACAGCACATCAAAAAGGTTATCCACCATGGTCAAGTAGGCTTCATCCCAGGGATGCAAAGCCGGTTCAACATATGCAAGTCTATAAACGTAATTCACCACATAAACAGAACCAAAGACAAAAACCACATGATTATCTCAATTGATGCAGAGAAGTCCTTTGACAAAATACAACAGCCCTTTATGCTAAAAACCCTCAATAAACTAGGTATTGACAGAACATATCTCAAAATAATAAAAGCCATTTATGACAAACCAACAGCCAGTATCATACTGAATGGGCAAAAGCTGGAAGCATTCCCTTTGAAATCTGGAACTAGACAAGGATGCCCTCTCTCACCACTCCTATTCAATATAGTACTGGAGGTTCTAGCCAGAGCAATCAGGCAAGAAAAAGAAATAAAGGATATCCAAATAGGAAAGGAAAGTCAAATTGTCTCTATTTGCAGACGACATGATTGTATATCTAGAAGACCCCATCATCTCAGCTCAAAATCTCCTGAAACTGATAAGCAACTTCAGCAAAGTCTCAGGATACAAAATCAATGTGCAAAAATCACAAGCATTCCTATACACCAGTAACAGACTTAAAGAGAGCCAAATCAAGAACGAACTGCCATTCACAATTGCTACAAAGAGAATAAAATACCTAGGAATACAACTAACAAGGAACGTAAAGGACCTCTTCAAGGAGAACTACAAGCCACTGCTCAACAAAATAAGAGAGGACACAAACAGATGGCGAAACATTCCATGTTCATGGTTAGGAAGAATCAACATCGTGAAAATGGCCATACTGCCCGAAGTAATTTACAGATTCAATGCTATCCCCATCAAGCTACCAATGGCCTTCTTCACAGAACTGTAACAAAACACCTTAAACTTCACATGGAAGCAAAAGAGAGCTCGCATAGCCAAGTCAATTCTAAGCAAAAAGAACAAAGTGGGAGGCATCACACTACCGGACTTCAAACTGTACTACAAGGCTACAGTAATTAAAACAGCATGGTACTGGTACCAAAACAGAGATATAGATGATGGAACAGAACAGAGGCCTTGGAGGCAACACAACATATCTATAACCATCTGATCTTTGACAAACCTGACAAAAACAAGCAATGGGGAAGGGATTCCCTGTTTAATAAATGGTGTTGGGAAAACTGGCTAGCATGTGCAGAAAGCAGAAACTGGACCCCTTCCTGACAACCTACACTAAAATTAACTCCAGATGGATTAAAGACTTAAACATAAGACCTAACACCATAAAAACCCTAGAAGAAAATCTAGGCAAAACCATTCAGGACATAGGCATAGGCAAGGACTTCATAACCAAAACACCAAAAGCATTGGCAACAAAAGCCAAAATAGACAAATGGGACCTAATCAAACTCCACAGCTTCTGCACAGCAAAAGAAACAGTCATTAGAGTGAATTGGCAACCAACAGAATGGGAAAAAATTTTTACAGTTTACCCATCTGACAAAGGGCTGATATCCAGAATTTACAAAGAACTAAAACAGGTTTACAAGAAAAAAACAAACAAGCCCATTCAAAAGTGGGCAAAGGATATGAACAGATACTTTACAAAAGAAGACATACATGAGGCCAACAAACATACGAAAAAATGCTCATCATCACTGGTAATCAGAGAAATGCAAATCAAAACTGTGTTGAGATACCATCTCACGCCAGTTAGAATGGCAGTTAGAATGCTGGAGAGGATGTGGAGAAATAGGAACACTTTTACACTGTTGGTGGTAGTGTAAATTAGTTCAACCACTGTGGAAGGCAGTGTGGCGATTCCTCAAAAAACGTTTATTGTATACGTTTATACTGTTTGTTTAATGTTTTGGTTTACTGTTTTTGACGTATTCTCATCAGTCTTAGCTCTATATTGTAAGTTCTCAAGTTATTTATCATGTTTATCTAATGTGCAATTTGGCATCTAATAAATGCTATTTTATGATGATGGCAAAAAAAAAAAAAAAAAAAAAAAAAAGGCCCTTCAGCCCAGAATGCCGTCAGCCCCTGAGGTGCTCAGCTCGGAAAGAAGAAAGAAAAGTGGTAACTAATTAAAGAAATTTAAGTCTGAAGATGCAGCTTTGAGAATCGTTCCAATAATATATCTGAGTATGTGTGTATACACGTGTGTGTGCATATACACTTGCATGTGGGAGATGCTGTGGTGTGCTGCCCAGAAACCTCTTCAGGACCCGGGCACTCAGCTGGAAGTTTTGGCTGCTGCTGATTCCTCTCAGCTTCCTCACTCTTGGGACATGGACACTCCAACTGAGCCACAAAGGGAGCAGCCTTGCTAGGATTTTCTACCTCCTATAAAAAGAAGCCCACATCCAGTGACTGGTTGATGCAATGTGACAAAGACCACATCCTTTTGGACAAGTATGCATCATTATTCCAATTCCAGGGCTTCCTGTTAGATTGGATGAGGCATCTCTTATGGTTTCCTTGTAGGACATTTTTTTTTTCTCTGTTCAATACTGCTTTGCACATGGCCTTAAAGGTGTTGTTCTTGAAAACATTTGTCAAAAGAAAACTTCTTGCATGTAAAAAAAAAAAAAAAAAAAAAAAAACTGCTGACAATGCAACTAAAAATGCAGAACCATTGATCAATTTGGATGTAAATAATCCTGATTTTAAGGCTGGTGTGATGGCTTTGGCTAACCTGCTTCAGATTCAACGTCATGATGATTACCTGGTAATGCTTAAGGCAATTCGAATTTTGGTTCAGGAGCGCCTGACACAGGATGCAGTTGCTAAGGCAAATCAAACAAAAGAGGGCTTGCCTGTTGCTTTAGACAAACACATTCTTGGTTTTGACACGGGGGATGCAGTTCTTAATGAAGCTGCTCAAATTCTGCGATTGCTGCATATAGAAGAGCTCAGAGAGCTACAGACAAAAATCAATGAAGCCATAGTAGCTGTTCAGGCAATTATTGCTGATCCAAAGACAGACCACAGACTGGGAAAAGTTGGAAGATGAACACTTCAGGACTTCTGCTTCTCACCTACTTCGTACAGTTGGGAACCATGTACACTTCTGGCATGTCTGGAAATCAAAACGTCACATTCTCGGGGGAGGAAGCCCAGAAAATTGGGTATGTTCTAGAGATTTACCACCATTGCTTTTTTCTTTAATAAAGTTGAGGAAAGTAAAAAAAAAAAAAAAAAAAGAAATTCCATTTGACCCAGCAATCCCATTACTGGGTATATATCCAAAGGATTATAAATCGTTCTATTATGAGGGCACGTGCACACGAATGTTCATTGCAGCACTGTTTACAATAGCAAAGACCTGGAACCAACCCAAATGCCCATCGATGATAGACTGAACAGGGAAAATGTGGCACATATACACCATGGAATACTATGCAGCCATAAAAAACGATGAGTTCATGTCCTTTGTAGGGACATGGATGAACCTGGAAACCATCATTCTCAGCAAACTGACACAAGAGCAGAAAATCAAACACTGCATGTTCTCACTCATAGGCGGGTGTTGAACAATGAGAACACATGGACACAGGGAGGGGAGCACTATACACTGGGGTCTGTTGGGGGGAAATAGGGGAGGGACAGCGGGGAGTGGGGAGTTGGGGAGAGAGAGCATGGGGAGAAATGCCAGATAGAGGTGATGGGGAAGAAGGCAGCAAATCATACTGCCACGTGTGTACCTATGCAACAATCTTGCATGTTCTTCACATGTACCCCAAAACCTAAAATGCAATAAAAAAAATAATAATATAATTTTGTGTGGCTTTCATCAGCCTACCTCAGATCACAAACATATCTGCTCTCTTATGCTTTTTGATGATCATACTTTTAGAATATGATTTTGGGGGAATAAGGGAAACTAGGAAGAGCTATTTTTATTTTATTATTTTATTTTTTAAACCATCTAGCCTAAAATATCAAGAAAGAGCTATTTATACTTCCCATAGGTAGGGTGATCATCATCCTGATTTGACCAGAGCAGTCCCCTAATTCAGCAAAATTATTATGGACTTTTTGTTTCACTTTCAGAAGTTGCTTGTTTAGATGACCCAGTACAGGAACCAAGCAAATCAATGTTTGAGAAAACAAAATTTGAACAAGGTAAAAAAAAAAAAAAAAAAGAAAATGTTCAATTCCATTTACTTTTATAAGTGTTTAGATTCTACATATTATGCAAATAGATCAATTAGATGGTTAAATCTTATGCATATCACTCCATATTATAAATAATTACTGGTTATGTCATCTTTATTTCCTGATAGACTGAGAAGATCTTTGAGTTCAGAGAACTTTTATGAACTCTTACTTATATTCTTCAATGCGTGGCACACCATAGCTTTCCAATAAATGCTTGTTGAATAAATGAACGAATGAGTAAATGAAAGCATGAACATGATTCAAAAGATAGCTGTTTTCAAACTGTATTTACTTTGGTTGTTTTAATTTGATTTTTTTTTGAATGTTTTAATTTGAATGTTTTATTTGATTGTTTTAATAGGACATACCTAGATTTTATAGGCTATAATGGAATTTGTTGTGAAGAATTCAACAAATGGTAGATAGTATTTTGGTTAGTTAATACTATCTCCTTAATCTGAACTTACTGTTTCTTTTCATTTTTTTAGACAGGGTCTTGCTCTGTCACACAGGCTGGACTGTGGTGGCATAATCTCGGCTCACTGCAGCCTCAATCTCCCAGGTTCAAGTGATCCTCCTGCCTCAGCCTCCTAAGTAGTTGGGACTGCAGGCATGTGCCACCATGCCCAGCTAGGTGGTTTTTTTTTGTTTGTTTTTTGGGATTTTTTTGGGTATTTTTTGTAGAGATGGGGGTTTCACCATGTGGCCCAGGCTGGTCTCAAACTCCTGAACTCAAGTGATCTGCTCACCTCAGCCTCCCAAAGTGCTGGGATTACAGGCATGCACCACCATGTCCAGCCCTGAAATTACTGTTTCTAAGTATGAGATACAAGTACTGGCCTTTCACATATTCTCAGCCAGAAATTTAAAAGCAAATTCTCCCTCTCATGCTTTCTCTTCCTCTTTATGAGAAATCATACAGAATTCTATTTAAATTTGTTAATCAATGCTTCCTAAACTTATTGAATCAGATGATATCTATTCAACAAATAGCAGAAGCCTCAATATCCAGTCTGTTTACATATCATTTTGTATGCATGGTATCAAGAAAATCCTGAATCATGAAGATAAATGATAAAAATTTTTAATCTTGCCATCTTACAACTTTCTTCAGTGAATTAGAGATGATGGAAGAGCTTTTTTTCTGAATTCTATACAAAAACTAATTGGTAACTTAAGTCAATGCATTGATGGACTCCAGAGTGTTAAACTATGGTATATTAACACATTTGAGGATATATATTCTTACTGATTAAAGACTTTAAACATAAAAATACAAGCCTTTAAAAATGAAAGTCTGTCAATGAAATATTAATGAAACCTCTGAACCATCCATGATCTGTAAGTCTTTTTAAGTTTTAAAATGGACTGAGTCTGTGGGACATTTTCCCTTGAAATGTCATAACTTCCTCCCAAGCCTCTCCTTTTTGCCTCTTTGGCTGTATTTCCTCTTCTGCGTTATTGAGGGAATCTTCACTGATATTTCAATACAAACTGGAAAGGGAAAAATAAGCATTTCCGAACTTCTACGTTATTTGCTATCACTAGGTATGGATGTATTGACATATTTTTCACAAAGTTATTTCTTTTTTAATTCTGTTAAGATAGATCACATTTCATTATTTACCAGGAAAACCAATTTTATATATTTATATTCCCTGTCACCATAGTACCAAGACACTCAAAACACATTAAGCTAAATGTATTCCTTTAAGCAAAAGAATAAAAGTATCTCCTGAAGTCTTTTATTTCCCAAGCCATCATTATAATAATTTACTAATTATATTTTCTTTCATGGGGACCCAAGATCATTTGTTCATTTGAAAGTAGTTCGTGCTTTTCCAGAAAAAAATAGGCTCTTTTTTGTTCCTAATAAAATGGTCCATTCGATAAAACAGTCCTACTGATAATCTGTTGTAAATAAATGACTTTAATGACAGAGTTTTCTTCATTTCAGTGCTGTTATTATGGTTCATTTCTCGGTAAAAGTATACATAACAGAGTACAAACATCCACAGGTGCTTCTGTTTTATGTGGTTAAGAGCTTTTTAAACCTTGATCACCCAAATATGGGTACCTGATAACAGTGTATAAGGTGTTTATTTCAGCTCTTATTTACAACTCTCGATTCTTTTTTATTTTTTTAATCATAATTTTTTTCACTCTGGTATCATGATTAACACTCTTTTAACCTAACTCACAAAGTAGATAATATATCTACCAATCAACTGATTGTAGAACTTATAATATATTTTATTTATTTAAAGTAGGTATAATAAACTACATATATGTTGTACTTTTTTTTTTTTTTTTGAGACAGTCTTACTCTGTCTCCCAAGCTGGAGTGCAATGGTGCGGTCTCGGCTCACTGCAACCTCTGCCTCCCAGGTTCAAGAGATTCTCTTGCCTCAGCCTTACTAGCAGCTGGGATTACAGGTGCTCACCACCACGCCCACCTAATTTTTGTATTTTTTAGTAGGTTTCACCATGTTGGTCAGGATGGTTTCGAACTCCTGACCTCATGATCCACCAGCCTCAGCCTCCCAAAGTGCTGGGATTACAGGCATGAGCCACCGCACCTGGCCTAATTTTTATGTTTTTAGTAGAGATGGGGTTTCACTATGTTGTCCAGGCTGGTCTTGAACTCCTGACCTCAGGTGATCCATGCACCTCAGCCTCTCAAAGTGCTGGGATTACAGGCATGAGCTACCATGGCTGGCCTGTGCTTTTTAAGAAAAGAAAAAGCAAACAATAGTATTTGTGCTTTTGTGTAGAAACATATAGACATGGAGCAACGGTTTGTTCAACTTCAAAAAAGGAAGAAGCTTTTAGCACTAACTTTGCTGAATGTTGTTTTCCTGAAATGATTCAAATAATTTTAATGTTCATATAATATATTATATAATATACATATCTTATGTAATATATCTTATATGATAAAATAACCTAGAAATTTTATTAAAAATTCAAACTGAGAACAAAAATTTGAAATCAATTTGCTGTAATATTACATTTACTTAAAAAAAACTTCTACGTTCAGGGGTAAATTTGCAGGTTTGTTATATATGTAAACTAATAACTCAGGTGTTTGGTGTACAGATTATTTCATCAACCAGATAACTGTATACTTACATTTACTTAAATGGGGATTACCCTATTTGGATCAGCTGGGGATTACCCTAGTTGGCTCAGTTTTCTGTATGTGTGTGTTTTTTGTTTTGTTGGTTTTCCACTCAGACATATAAGGTATTTTCTTGTAGATCTCAAAAAAGAAAATTGGAAGCTAGAAATAGTGGTTAGCCAAAAGTGCAAGATCCTGCTACAGTACATAATATAGGGCCGTACTGGCTGGAATGAAATGGGCAGAGAATGCTGTGGTGGAAGGAGCTTAGGGAGACCTAGTGCAGTAGAGGAGAAGGAGCAGAAGAGATTGAGATGATGAGAAAAAGGGTATTGTAAGGATGATCTTTCTTTTTCTTCCATTCTTATCACTATGGAAAGGAAACTGTTCGTAAGAAACTATTGGTAGTCTTAACGCTAGGCTTTGTGATCTGACATGCATGTTCTCAGAGCTTCATTTCCATGGGGTTATCCTGGAAGTGCCGCCTTCTACTACTGAGGAGCCAGCCACTTGTAGTTTACTAAAGTCTTATGATTATAGGAAATTGAGAAGTATATGTATGCTGACAGTGAACTTGAGTGGAGTTGGGATGGGATTTTGACTGCCATTCCTGTAGAATACTAAACCAGCTGGAATATAAACTATAGGAGTCTTATGGCTGTACTAGCCAATCATGGCTAACAAACCTGTTGAGAAAAATATAAATCAAAACCATGATACGCTACTGAGTTTAGTAATTAAGTCAATCCTGCTTTAAAAAAAAAAAAAAAAGAGAGAGAGGAGGTGGGCCTAATGGCCCTATTCTGTTAATTCATTGTAGGCTTTAAGAGAGAGAGAGACCAGGTTTATCTCCAAGCAAAACTAGTTTAGAATACGAAGTATTATTGTTTTATTATTTTTTTAAATTGTACTTTAGGTTCTGAGGTTCATGTGCAGATCATGCAGGATTGTTGCATAGGTACACACATGGCAATGTGGTTTGCTGGCTTCATCCCTCCCCCACCCTCCATCACCTGCATCTAGCCTTTATCCCCATGTTACCCCTCCCTGACCTCCCACGACCACCCGCTGTCCTTCCCTTGGCCGCCCCCCAACAGACACCAGTGTTTGATGCTCCCCTCCCTATGTCCATGGTCCATGTGTTTGTTCTCATTGTTCAACACCCATCTGTGAGTGAGAACATGTGGTGGTTGATTTTCTGTTCTTGTGTAAGTTTGCTGAGAATGATGGTTTCCAGATTCATCCATGTCCCTAAAAAGGACATGAACTCATCGTTTCTTATGGCTACATAGTATTCCATGGTGTATATGTGCCACATTTTCCGTGTATAGTCTATTGTTGATGGGTATTTGGGTTGGTTCCAGGTCTTTGCTATTGTAAACAGTGCTGCTATGAACATACGTGTGCATGTGTCCTTATAGTAGAATGATTTATAATCCTTTGGATAAATACCCAGTATTGGGATTGCTGGGTCAAATGGAATTTCTATTTCTAGATCCTTGGGAAGCGTCACACTGTCTTCCACAATGGTTGAACTAATTTACACTCCCACCAACTGTGTAAGAGTGCTCCTATTTCTCCACATCCTCTCCAGCATATGTTGTCTCCAGATTTTTTAATGATTGCCATTCTAACTGGCATGAGATGGTATCTCAATGTGGTTTTGATTTGCATTTTTCTAATAATCAGTGATGATGAGCATTTTTTCATATGTTTGTTGGCCTCGTATATGTCTTCATTTGAAAAATGTTGGTTCATATCCTTCTCCCACTTTTGAATGGGGTTTTTTTTTTTTCTTGTAAATCTGTTTTAGTTCTTCATAGATTTTGGATATTAGCCCCTT